GGGTGAGCCGCACACGCTCATTACCACCACCCTCGTCCTCTGACAGCTGCACACACACACACACACACCTGCAGTTAGCATCTGCTTCACTAGAGTGAATCACTCACTCACTCACTCACTGACACACTCACGCACCCACGCACACACACACACACCTGCAGCAGGTACGGCAGGCTCTTCAGCAGCTCCGCCAGAGAGATGAAGCCGTACTCGCAGGGGTTCAGCGGCGCGCCGTAGCTCAGCTCATACTGGCACCGCAGCTCCTCCACACACACATCACTACGCTCCTCAGGAAGTGACATCATCAGTGCCAGCAGCTGACTGGTCAGAGCGCGCAGAGACTTCCTGTTTATCAGCTGCACCTCCTTCCCTTCGGGAGTGTCCACCACCTGCAGAGAGGTCAGAGGTCAATCAGGCACAGGAGCTGTGTGTGTGTGTGTGTGTGTGTGTGTGTGTGTGTGTGTGTGTGTGTGCTGCTCTACCTTCACCACATGGCACAGTCTGTGCAGCAGCGCGGGCAGGGTGCTGGCCTCATAGTCCTGCAGCCGCAGACAGTAGCCGAAGGTCTTGCTGTACTCGCCCAGCAGCCGGCAGACGGGCAGCCCGGAGTCTCTCTGTGCCCGCAGCAGCTTCACCAGCTGGGCAGCCAGAGCCTTCACCCGCTCCACCTCCGTCAGCACCAGCAGCCGCTCCTCACCACACTCCAGCACCTGACACACACACACACACACACGTTACACACACACACAGACAGACACACACACACACACACACACACACACAGACGGGTGGTGCAGTGACCTGCAGGATGTCGGGGATGGCCTCGAACAGCTCCATCAGTTTGCTGAAGCCGTAGTAGGAGAGTTTGCACTGCCGGCCGAAGTGGTGATGGTATGTGGGGATGAAGCGGCTGAAGGCCATGCGGAAGTGTGGCTGGTGCCGCAGTAGGTCCACCACCTCCCGGCCAAACTGACGCGTGCGCTCCGCTTCCTCTGCAGACCGCTCTGCAGTATAGCGCACACACACACACACAGACACACACGTTACCCGAGTGTGTGAAACTCGATGACTGACACACAATACGGATAATCTGGACTCGGCTTCACCTCGCTTCGGCACCGAGATGATCACGTCTGCGTCCTGCTGACACACGGAGATGGTGGAGTCCGGGATCTCAGACAGCAGGTCCATCAGGTCACACATCCCATAATCCACCACCTGCCAGTCCCTGGAGAAACACCTGACACACACACACACACACATATATATATGGGTCAGGGAGGCAGCAGACGTCAGCAGAGCTCCTGAGCACTCACACTCACCAGTGGTACGCCGAGCCGAAGCCCTGCAGCGACACCTGCTTACTGGCCTGCATCTTCAGCAGCTTCAGCAGGTCCTGAGTGAAGCGCTTGACTTGAGCGCGGTGCGTCAGCGTCAGCAAACGCTTGGAACCTAAACCCAGGATCTGCGCATGCGCACACACACACACACAGGTCAGGCTGCTGAAGCACTCTGGAGAGCAGCACACACACACACCGCTGGAGTGGGTCAGACCTGCAGCACATGCGGAACAGCCTCCAGCAGCTCCAGCAGTTTGGTGTAGCCGTAGTCGGACACGCGGCACTGCTTGGCGAAGTGGTGGTGATACGCCGGGATGAACCTGGAGACGGGCATCAGGCAGGACGGCTGGCTCCTCATCAGGTCCACCATCTCCCGGCTGAACTGGATCAGCTGCGGGTTCCCGACCGGACTCTTACTGCGCTGCAGCCAAAGATCTGAACACACACACACACACACACACACACACACACACACACCTCATCATTCAAGCATACTATTGTTCATTTCAGACAAAACAGACAGAAAATAACAAACTCTACATCTGACATTCAGGACCACGGTGTGAGAGCCAGTGTGTGTGTGTGTGTGTGCGCGTGTGTGTTTGTGTGTGTGTGTGTGTGTTTGTGTCGGTTTATCAGTGAAGGAATGCCTTCAGCTCTTTAGTCCTCATTCACATCAGCACTGCAGTGTATTACAAGAACAACAATATTAGTGTACTGGATTAACTCTAACACACACACACACACACACACACACTCATGCACCTGCATTGGGAGGTGGGGGTTTGTTGTGAATCCACTTGATGACCTTGAAGCCGTTCTGGGCCGTCACTATAGTCACTCCGGGGATGCAGGTGATGAGGTGCTCGAGCGGGACGCTGCCCTCCAGCTGACCCTCCTCTGCCACACTCAGAGCACTGAACTCTGCAGCATAGCAGTCTGGGAAACTGAGCGCACACACACACACACACACACACACACACACAAACAGAGGATAACTGAACACTGACATAGTGGACCGTGTGTGTGAATGATACTAGAGTAAATGGCACAGCAGTGTGTGTGTGTGTGTGTGTGTGTGTGTGCGTACCTGAGCAGTGGCAGCATGCCCTCGTGAGACTGCAGTAAGCTGTGCACATGAGCGGCCAGAACTTTCAGAGACTCCAGAACAAACGGAATCATGTAAGAGTCCGGATCGAAGTCAGCTTCACTGAAAACACACCAGAGACACCGGTGGGCTCATCACACACACCCCACACTCAAATCTTCTCTTCCAGTCTGAACAGAGTGTGTCATGTTGTGTACGAGGTGTGTGTGTGTGTGTGTGTGTGTTCACCTGAAGTCCTGCTGAGCGGAGTGGCGTTTGCAGACGGGCTCGTGGTACTCCAGCTCCTCGAACAGCACCGGGCTGGCAGTGTTGGAGCTGTCGTGTGTGTGTGTGTGTGAGGAACCCAGCGGACTCTGCCGGATCTGAGTGTTGGACAGCAAACACACCAGCCGCCCGCCGCCCTGCTCGCGCACACACACCAGCTCCGGCAGCCGGTACAGATCGCCCACCGCCAGCTTATGGCCAAACCTGCACACAGAAAGCAGCGGTGTAATGCTGTGTGTGTGTGTGTGTGTGTGTGTGTGTGTGTGTGTGTGTGTGTGTGTGTGTGTGTGAGACACTAACTTCCTCTCATAGGTCTCAGTGAACTTGTAGAGCGGCAGACAGTTGGCCGGAGCGTCCTGCAGAATGCTGATGATTTCAGAGCTGAAAACAAGCATAATGTCAGCAACAGCAGCAGAGCACACACACACACACACACACACACACACACACACACACACACACACACACAAACAAACACATGCATGCGCACACACCTGAGGCAGGTGAGGGATTTGTTGCTGGCTCCGGTGACCAGTGACACCTGGATCCTCTTGCTGCCGATCTTGTAGCGGTGCAGCAGACTGACGGCGCTGATGGCCTGCTGGAGCGAGCTCATGTGCACACGCGCCTTCAGCTGATAGTCAGTGTGTGGAGAGAGGTCCACGCTCTTCACCTGCGCGCAAACACACACACACACACACAGTAAGGCTCTCTGCGCTGCGCTCTGCACCTGAATGTCAGCGGGCGGGACTCACTCTGCCGTGTCTGGCGAAGGCGTCCCGCAGGCTCTGCTGCAGCTCGGTGCGGGGCAGCCGGTAGTCCAGATTGCTGACCTGCAGGTCTGCGCCATCAGAGAAGGGCTGAGGCTCGTCTGCGCAGCCGCTGGGGGACGGGGCGCTGCGGGGGGAAGAGCGGCTCGACGGGCAGGGGGACGCGCTCCTGACGCCATAGAGCACACACACACACACAGGGTCACCACACACACACACCCCCACCCATAGACAGACACGGTGATAATGAAGCACAGAGCGGCGTCTGCTTACCGTGAAGACCAGGAGCTGTGGGAGAGCATCATGGGACTGAAGCTGCGCTGCAAACTCAGCTTACTGAACGCTGAAGGAGTGCTGACCTGAAACAGCTGCCCAGGAGAGTCTCGCCTGCGTGCACGTGCACGCGCACACACACATACACGCGCACACACACATATTATAAACACTTAAAATAGCTTGTAACACCGATGATTACTGTACAAATATCAGAGACAGAAAGAGGATAAGAGTGTGTGTGTGTGTGTGTGTGTGTGTGTATATATATATGTACCTTCGGCTGCGCTGAGGCGGCTCCACTGGTCTACCGGGTGCAGACAGGAGTGTGTTACTCTGAGGTGATGCAGTGGCAGGTCGGGTCGCACCACACACAGCCTGCAGCAAGCAAGCAAACACACACACACACACACACACACACACACACACGCTTCACTACACACTCCAACACACTGAGGTGATAGAGAGGGTGCGGCGGAGGACAGATGAGGACAGAGGAAGAGTCTCAGCAGCAGCACATGAAGCGTCTCGGGCACACGGCACACACAGCGGCGCAGCCAGGGTCAAAGGTCAAGGGTCAAGCGCAGCACAGGCAGAATGGCATGAGAAGAGGAAGCGTGCGATTGGAGGATGATGGAGGAGGCGGGCAGAGGCGGGTACACAGCTGACCTGGGGGAGGGGCTTCATCACTGGGCTGCATGAGGAGGCGTGGCCTGCATTCCTGGGGCTATAGGGGCGCTCGGGGGCGTGGCAGGAGCGGGACGCCCGGCGCTGGCGGCGAGGAGAGCGCAGCTTCTCCACCGGCATGAAGAGAGCTGCGGCAGCGGCAGCAGTGGGGGGGCGGAGCTCTTCTCCCTCATCCGGCCCGTCCCGAGAGTGCGACACCAGGATGCGCTGGCCCAGCACGTCCTCGTTCTCCATGCGCTTGCGGGCGCGCTCTGCTGCCTCTGCGCTGGCGAATCGCAGCACGGCACAGCCACCGGACACGCCCAGCACTTTCCCTCCACAGTTATTGGAGAGGCGCTGCAGCCGGTTGGCCACCGCTTTGGCATCGCGGTGCATGGGGAGGCGGTGCACAAACAGAAGGCTGACACTGGGCTGTCGTATAGTATGCTTATCGTTATTGCTATGGCAACATTGGCTTATCACTGACAGTCATGCCAATACAGCTGAATTAAATAGACAGAGACACACACACACACACACACATCAGTATTAAAGCAGTGTTTCTCTGACCTGTGTTCGGACCTGCATGCCGGGTGGCAGGCCGGACACCAGCTCCTCGAAGGCGGCGCAGCGGTGGGCGTGTTGCAGCAGGGCCGGCGACGCTTGGCTCTTGTGCAGCAGAATCACCTGGAAGCCGTGCCGGTGCCGCAGGTCGCTCAGCTCACTGCCGAAGTTGACATCCGCTGTGGGAACACAACACCACTCAGCCTACGTCCTTCTATAACAGCGTCTCAGACAGTCGTAACCTTCTATAACCCTTTATTCTCTGCCCTGCTTAATCATTTATTAATGAACTAGCGACTGACTAACTCACTACTGTAGTCAAGTTGTACTGTGGTGCTTGTACACTATGATATTCTGAAGGGCTGCTTATGGTCTGTGTGTCTGACTGATGTTATTCTGAAGAACTCCCTGCTGGTTCAGTTCATCTAACGAGGTGACGGAGCCTGTGGGCAGTGTGTGCGCATGCAGACGTACATGACACCACGATGACGGTGGCGGGAGCGGTGTGCGTCTCTGCAAACCGCCGGAGACTCTGCCGCAGTTTGTCGTCTGCTGCGTTTTTGGCAGTGGCGTTGATGTGGGCCACGGTGACCTGCGAGACAAACACACATCAGCACCAGGAGGACACAAAGCACCCGCGGGCCCCGGGGCCTCAGAGGCACACCTGGCAGTTGTTGAGCTCCTGGATGACGGCCTTGTTCTCCTTGTTGATGTCGCAGACGCAGATGAACTCGGCCTCGCGGTGGCCCTGGAAGAAGCGCTCCCGCAGCCTCTGCACCACCGCCGCCGCCGAGCGCCCGCTGGGAACCGCACAGTTCTCGATGTCCCAGAACACGCCAATGGGGGGCAGCGACTCCTGCGTGCTGCTCTCTGCAGGACCTGCGGACACAGAAGAGTCAGAAACTACAAGACACACACAAACACACCGCTCCCCCATGGTGAGTATACATGCCATATTTCTGCACAGGTTTGCCCAGGTGGACCCCCAGCAGCCCGTCAGTCGGTGCTCCAGTCGCACCGCAGCCGTTGCACACCGGGACAGGTGGAGGAATATTGGGCCAGACCTTCTCTGGGTCGACTCGTACACCCTGAAACACAGCAGACTGCCATCAGATCAGGCTCAGGACTTGCACTCCCTGAACCCAGACACCCGTGACACACGCATGGATCCACCCACCTGCCTCCAGCAGTCCTGCACACAGTGAGCGGCCGCCACACACAGCGGCGTGTGCAGAGCACTGGGGCAGACGGGCGGCTCGGCCCGAGGGAAAGAGTGTGGTGCCCGGCGGCACAGACAGAGAGCAGAGCCGGGGCAGGGCAGTGGCCTCAGAGCGGCGCAGGCGGGCAACAGCAGCTCACACATGGAGCACACGCTTACACTGAGGCCCGGAGGTGTGTGTGGGGGCGCGGGACACGCGTGTGCCTGTGGCACGCCACTGTGCACCGGCGGAGGAGGAACATCCTTCAGCTCCAGCACCGGCTTACAGACCTCCATGGAGTCGCTCTGCAGGAACACAAACAGCTCGGTCAGTGCCCGGGAAACATCATTACACACGGTTATCAATAATGTGCAGCTCTCACTCTGCTATATCCAAAGAAGAAGAAAAATCAAGCCTCTGTTAACTCTTCCTCCTCCGAGATCACCCAGAGACTCTTATATTCATCATTACTTATTTTCCACAGGGGCTTTTACTAGGCTGAACGACTGAGGTGATGTTGGTGTTATATTCACACTTTCTGCTTAGTAAAATAGTTTCTGAAAAACATTCACTGCAAATTCTCAATAGTGAAACCAAATCAGCAGCCAGAGACTATCAGAGTCCAGCACTGCTCAGTGCAAAACCCCACAGTAAACAATATATGGAGCTGCCCCTGGGCGAATATAGACCCACTTTAAAAGCAAAGCCCGTGTTTATAACAGCTCAAACACAGTAAACTCCAGATGAGCCCGTGTGAGTGTGTTTATATCAGCTCTGAGCCGGCACACTCTCCACTGGAGCCGCGCGGAGGACTCTCTCCGCCTGATGAAGCGCCTCAGCTGCGGCTGAACAGGAGAGGACCCGCAGAAACACACAGACCCGCTCAGAAGCAGCCAGGCGGACTGAATCAGCTGAATTACGGCTAACAGTAATGATGATAATATTGGTACGAGTATCGATGATGATGTTAGTATTGATAAGCAGCTCCACACGAGCGTCGCGGTTTGTTTTGTTTGTTGATCCGTGGTTTCCCGCGCCTCCTCCTGTCAGACCCGCTCCGGGCTCCCTCACACACACCGTTAGCCGAGATATTACGGATTATGAGGAGGAAAACTCACACTTTAACGCGTTTTAATTTACGATTTTAACAATTTTAGCTTACCGTCTCGCGCCAGACTCAGCGTCTCCCTGGATACCAGACTTCCGACTTATTGTTGCCGGAAAGCCAGTACAGATGTCGTAAAATGAAAATCACAGAAGCGGAAGTGGTTTAGAATGTTTACTTCGACATGTTAAACACTTTAAAGACACGAATACAAAACACGCTTTAAAAAGGGTCACGCGCTAACACACTGCACTACAGCCCACACACACTAATGCGGTGATGATGAGCTGAATCTGTGCGAGCTATTGGTGAAAGTGTTCGTGTGTGTGCGCGAGAGGTGTTTATTACACACACAGATGAAGAAAACACTCGTGCACGTGAAGATTACAGGTTACACACACACACACTCATCATCATGACTATCTGAAACAATAAATGTGGAGAGATCAACAACACAGAGAAGAGTTTATATTAGTGTATGAGAACACACACACACACACACACACACACACACACACACACACACACACACACACACACACACACGTGTTCCTGTATCGTGGTGGGGACTCGCGCTGGTGTTTGTGCTGTACAGACTGTGGCCTCTCGCCTCTCCCCTGCAGCAGTGGTTCCGCTCGGACCGTCCAGCACATTCTGTCTGTCCTCCTTCCTGAACACAGCGGGCTCAGATCATCAGCTCCTTCACAGATATATGAGCTGAGCCCTGTGTGACAAATACGAGAGACAAGCAAAGTGTGCAGGACAGGAGATCAGAACCGCTGCCCTAAACTAACCCTACCGACCCGCACGGCCCCTCATCTGCCGGACCCCGGAGCAGGATCAGCTCAGTCTAACGCTCTGTGGCATTCAGGCTCAAGTCCCCACTAGGATATAAAAACACACACGCACACACCCTTTACGCCCGCTCGCCGCTGTGTATGCGCTGGTGCCGCTTCAGCTCTCCGGAGCGGAAGAAGTTTTTCCCGCAGTGTGCGCAGTGGAAGGGCCGCTCGCCGGTGTGGATGCTCTGGTGGCCCTTCAGCCGCTCCAGCCGGGAGAAGCTCTTGTCGCAGTGGCTGCAGCGGTACGGCTTCTCCCCGGTGTGGATGCGCCGGTGCTCCTTCAGGTGTCCGGACTCCGAGAAGCTCTTCCCGCACTGGAAGCACTGGTACGGGCGCTCCCCGGTGTGCGTGCGGTGGTGCCGCTTCAGGTCCCCGGAGCGGAAGAAGCTCTTCTGGCAGAGGGTGCAGCGGTGCGGGCGCTCGCCGGTGTGGATGCGCTGGTGCCCGCGCAGGTGCCCCGAGTCGGAGAAGCTCTTCTCGCACTGCAGACACTTGTAGGGCCGCTCGCCGCTGTGGATGCGCAGGTGCCGCTTCAGGTCTCCGGAGCGGTAGAAGCGCTTGGCGCACTGCGGGCACTGGTACGGGCGCTCGCCGCTGTGCATCCTCTCGTGCTGCTTCAGGTGGCCGGAGTCAGAGAAGCTCTTGCCGCACTGCAGGCAGGCGTACGGCCGCTCGCCCGTGTGGATGCGCTCGTGCCTCTTCAGGTCCCCGGACGTGGGGAAGTTCTTCCCGCACTGGAAGCAGGGGAAGGGCCGCTCTCCGCTGTGGATGCGCTGGTGCCGCTTGATGTCGTTGATGCGGAAGTACTTCCCGCAGTCCTGGCAGTGGTACGGCCGGTCCGCTGAGGGGCGCGCGCTCGCCTGGGGCTCCGTCAGCAGGCTCTTGGGGTCAGACGCTCCGCAGCACGCCGTCAGGCACTCTCCTGTCTGCTGCTGCAGGTGCTGAGCTGCGCACACACACACACACCCACACACACACACACACTGAGCATGAGCGACACTAGAGGAGCAGCTCTCACTATACTACTGCAGGAGCGGCGGGGAGACTGACACACTCAGGAGAACAGTACACTCTGAATCTGAACATGTTAAACACGCCGTAGAATGAGCAGAGAGTGTGTGTGTGTGTGTGTGTGTGTTAGAGCTATATCATGAGCGCATTATTATTCCTGCTGAGGTGCTCATTTATCTTACAGAGTGTGTTTGATTTCCAGAGGCGCAGATGCAGAGACGCAACACCGCTAATACAGGATACAGCAGTGGAAACTGACGGAATATCAATTTGTGCATTATATATGTGTGTGTGTGTGTGTCTGACCGAAATGAAAGAAATCCTCCACACTCTCGTCCTCCTCCTTGACTCGGACTCCCGGTCTCCCGGTGCGCGGTTGCGGGGCCGCGGGCGGGTGCGCGCCGCTGGTGGAGCACCGAGACTCGGGCACTTTACTGTTTCTCAGAGCCTGCGGCAGTTTACTGCTCACGAACTCCTGAACAGAGAAAACACACACACAGACCGCGGTCTAAGTCAAGCGGATCGACAGAGGACAAGATCAACACACACACACACAGGCGCGCGCGCACACACACGCAAACTCACGCGCACACACACACGCGCGAGTAAAGCGCGACGCAGGAGTCTGCGCCACAGGCATCGGCGTTCACACGCACCGAACACTCACCAGATCCATCCTACTAGTCCATTTGTGCAGATTATCGACGAAATTCATCGATGAGCAGGAACACAGGCAGACATTTGATACTCACCGGAACTCGCCTCTGGAGGAACGCGCCAGCCGCAGCGCCGCCTGCAGCACGGGAGGAGAACCGCTGAGAGAGAGAGAGAGAGAGAGAGAGAGAGAGGGGGGGGGGG